GAAAGCTGCTTCCCTCAGTCCATCCTGTGGCCATGGTTTCCCCAGAAGCTTTCCCTTTGCCTGCTTCCAGGCCTGGCCAAGGAGCTCCCTGGAGCCACATGGGGTCCTCCAAATTGGGGCTTCTGGAGCTGGAGTTTGGCTCACTCACACTCCCACTGAGTGGCCAGAATGGCACTGCCGTATTTTAGAGAATTCACTGCAGGAACATCCTCCCAAACCATAGATGTCCTTGCCAAGGAAGGGTAGTCAAGCTTATGTTTTCCATAAGAAAGATGTTTCCTGAATGATATTTTTTTTTCTCTGATTCTCTGTATTAACATATTTTTTTAAAGAGAAAATATTTCTTCTCATATGTGACTGTGTATTTTAAATATAATTAAAGGGAAACTAGTCTTTTTTTCTGCCTCTAAAGAGTTGAATTTATACATTTTAATATGAAGATATTCTCAGTAGGGAGCAGGAGCCTATCATTGGCTTCTAATACAGGCAACACAAACTGCAAATCTAAAAGAAAGGGCTACGGCACAGAAAGGAGGAAGCGGATTTTAGATGCAGAGGGAGAATACAAGTATTTAGACCATATCTGTAGCTATAAAGCTAGAGATAAAAGGCTTTTTCCTTTATATTTTCTTTTTATTGTTTTTTTATAGTGCAGTACAATACAAACATTACAACCTGGCTGACTCCTGCAGAGATGCCAGGCACTAGCATCGTGTCCAAAAATTAGCTTTATACATATGCTAAATTAAAGATTGGCAGCCGCAGCAGCACAAATCCCATATTGGCAGCAGTTTGCAAATCCCACGTTGGCAGTCTTCTCCACATGAAAGAAGAGAGGAAATACAAAGGGCAAAAAGCCCAAGAGTCTTTCTCTAGCAAATAGCAGCGAATGGAACACAGAAACTATCTGCAGGGAAAAAAATCTCCAGATTACTGGAGATAAAAGAATATAGCTGAATCTGTGATAAGCTCGAACAAGGGCCTATTTACACCTTTTGGAGAAAGAGACATTATTAGTAAGCAAATGTTATTTTGGTGGAAAGGGTGGGAGTCTGCTGCCAGACAGAGGACAGCACTAGCCCCTGCATGATCTGCAATCAAGGGGGGCTGGATTCTTCTTCAACAAGAAGTGCAAAGATTCCTTTCAATCTCTTTAATTTGGCTTTTGCTAAATGTATTGGACCTAAAGCATATAGGGTGAATTGGGTTCTCCTTTGCAAATTGTGTTTTGATTTATCTACAGAAATAATTAATTGCGTGTTTTATGAACCAATCAAAATTGGCATTGCTTTTAATTAATTCATCCGAACATCCATGTTTTCATGTTAATTCTGTTTATAACTGTGTTCAGGGTGCATTTTACAGCAACAAGTGATTTCTCTTACATGTATGGTTGGCAGCAGTTCAATGTAGGTCTGCTCAGTTGGGATGGATTACTTAGCTCCTTCAACCTGCCCACCTGTGTAATTTTGGTTGGTCTGGCTCCCTTCTTTTTGGACATGGCTCTGGTGCACAGCATCCCCTGCCCTATTGCATTTGGCTTTCCCACCCTCTGCAGTGTGGTGCATGAACCACCACATCAGCTAACCTGCCACGGAAACTGTGCCATTTCCAAGATGCTGTTTATTTTCAGCGGCTCACACAATACAGAAGCATGTGCCGGGAGAAAACAAAGACCCTGTAAAGGGAATCAGAGCTGTGCTTGGAGTCTCCAGCCACCAGGACCATCTCCTGTGCCATCCAGACCATGCAGAGGGAGAGGCAGACTGCAGGTGGATCTGGAATTACAGAGCACTCCAGTGTCTGTCCTGCAGGAGAGGGAGAGGCAGGGGCTCCAGCAGCTGCAGGGAGGACTTAGCAGCAGAGCAAGAGCTGCAGGATGAGAAGGACCACATACATAGCTGATGGACTCCCCTGCAAAGAGGGAACAAAACCACTGCCATGGCCACCTGGAAGCTGGTGATTGCACAGCTTTCTCTGCTACACTACCGAACATTCGTGACTGCAAAGTGAAAGCCAGCAGAGCTGTTGGCCCTCTCTTCTCACAGATGATAGACACATGGGTTGTCAAAATGCTTTTTGTTGCATTGGCTTTCCAGCTGCACCAAGAGATGGGATCTAAAGGCTGGACACGGGATGTAGATGAGCAGAAAGTGTTGTTACTGTACTATTGATTACTGACCTCTGCTAGTCATGCTCTGGACAAAGGCCCTTAGGTTTTCTGCTGAGGCACTCACTGAAGCCTGGCTGTGCTCCACACTTGTGGTGGCTTTCTCTGCCAAGCCTGATTTTGCACGTTCACTCCATTGAGTCTTCTCTCAACTCTGCAGCCCTGGTTTTGTTCCCAGGGTTTCTCTAGAGCCTGTAGGACCAGCTGTGTCCTTGAGTTGTCTGCCTTTGGCTGTGGATGCCAAGATGCTTCAAACAAGAAAAATTACCAAGTGGCACGTTCCAAGCAAATCAAAAAGCAGCTCTGTTTCACACAATGAATAGTTAGACTCATTTTCCTTTCGATAGTGTGGCAATGAACATGAGTCAAAAAGCAAGAATATATTCATGAAATAATCCAGTCAAGGACTATTAATCACAAAGGGCCTGCCACTCGTTCCAAGGATCTCTCATCCACTCTAAGTAGAAGGAGAAAGTTGTTCTCTTCTTACTGCTGGGAATTGACGCCCTCTCTGAAAGATGAATGCATCAAGACTAGTTTCCGAAGTACAAGACAGTGAGCAGAAAGTGCTTAAACTGACTTTTTGGCGATGTCTCTGACCATTTGAAGGCATCACACAGACCAGAGGAAGCAACTTGGACCCATGCTATTCTAGGCTGATGAATGCACATCTTGCCAAGCCAAGCATATCCTTATTCCATGATTGCATACTGTGCCTGCAGTACATTAAACCATTGAGAAGAGTTCTGGGCAAGTTTTTCTGGAAAAACTTGCTGTGCTGGGAATCTCTTTTGTTATCTCAAGTTTAAGTTTGATCTTTATAAATCTTGAAGCATTAGATGAAGTTCAGAGGAAGATCTGTAATTATGTATAGGCTTTGCTGTGTAAAATTCCTGGCTCTCACAAAATCAATATCATGTAATTCATAGCCATTAATCCTAGTGAGTAAGCCTGTAAGGAGAAAGTCCTTAGACCATGGAAAGTTTAGGCTCTGTGTCTGCTCCTGGGAACAGAGAATTTTTGACAGCCTCTGTGAAAGATGAATGCATCAAGAGCAGCTTCCAAAATACAGGAGAGAGAGGAGATACAGCTTAGGCTGACTTTTTGGTGATGACTGGCCATTTGAAGGCATCACACAGACTGAAGAATGTGACTTGGATCCATGCTATTCTAGGCTGACAAATGTGCATCTTGGCTCATGCATCAAAGTTAAGCCACTCTCCTCGTGAATCATCCTGGTCCTGCACATAAGGGAGGGTAACCACATCCAAGGGACAGCCAGGTGGCTTTGGAAGGGTGGAATGGAAGGGGAATAAGAAGGAATCCATGAGAAATCCATGGTTAGCTGAGGGAAGTCCAGTAATTTTTGTGCACACACAGCCTCTGATCTGGGCTACAGTTATCATTTTAGAAGTTCTGAGCAGCCTTCACCTGGCAGAGGGACCTTATGTTGCATCAGTGCTTCACATCATGTGGTCGAAATTATTTTTAAATCTTGGATTAGGTGCTTTAATCATTAGGCACACTTCCCTGCTGACAACAGCTTTGGTTTTTGTAACTTCTTCATAGTTCTTATCCAAAATGCTAGTGATGCTTCTCTTTGCTTATGTTCAAGAACTTACCACTTTTAGTGAAGCATTCAAGTGCTTGAATTATTTGTACATGCCTTGCATCTTGATTATAGTTAAAGCAAACAATACATATTTATCTATTTTAATCTCTTTTTTTCACTTTGCTCCTTTTTGCTTCCATTGAAACCTATTTCTATTCATTATGGTCTTTCTGATGATAAAGTGACCAGAATTAGAAGTAAAAACTGGCAGTGCTGTTGTTGCTGAGCTGTGCAGTGATGGAGATGACATGATACAGCTCCATTGGCCCTTTTCTTGATTACTGCACAGTCGTGTAGCACATCCCTCTCTCACTCTCATCCCTCATTAGCCACACTGCCACTTTGGCTTTGTCTTTCATACTCATGGTCTGTGGCTTTGAATTTTGATTTTATCCCTATCTCTTCTTTATTTATTTTCATCCTCTTGAACCACTTTTATTTCATGCTATGGCCACTAGAAATTTTTACTAGGATGATGTTCACATTTTCTCCAAGACCAACAGCATAGATGCAAATTAGAGAAAAAATCCAGCAGGAGTACTCTGGACACTTTTCTTAACTCAATCTGATTATTTTACTGTTTATTTCAGCTTTTGATCTGCTTAACAATCTTTTCCAGCAATGCATCTTTTCCCCCTTGAACATTAATTTTGAGTGCTCAGATCTCAGTGGTAAAACATGTAAATTGCACTGAATGTGTGAGAAAATCTTAAGCAGTAAAATGCTGCTGCAATGCATAATTGTTGGAATTGTCCTCCTGACTCCACTGCGTTATTTTCCTTCTATTATATCACAATGGCATGAGCACATATATCAAAAAGCTGAAACGTGCAGGAATCATGACCATCTACTCCTCCCCCATGTCCTGTCAGTTTCTTCATCCCAGATTAGTGTCTGTTGGCTTGGGAAGCAAAGAGGGAGCAGATGGACCACAAAATGAGATTCTGTAACCTTCTTACCCAATAGATCTGCTTTCTGCATGTATTCAGACATATTTACTTACTGTAGTGACAATTATCAGTTTTATTTCTTTTAAGAAAACCAAACAACTTCAGCTCAGTATGAAAGAGCAAACTAATTTGTCTTCTGGCACCGTTACTGTCCATATAATTTCAAATCAATTAGGAGAAATGTGGCTGAATTCCTATCTGCACAATACCTGAATATGCCCATTAAATTCATAGACATGCTTAGATATAAGGGCACAAACACAGCATGTACCTTCTCTGGACCTTTAGGTAACTTTTTATTCTTCATAACACAGGTCACAAGAGCAGAGTTGTTTATTTTCTTGTTTACTTTGAATACATTATTTGGACAGCCACATGAAGCATCTTTTTATTTGCGAATGAAGGGAGTTGGATACAAACATAACGAAATAATAATAATAACTACAAAGCTTCAAAACTATTTTGTGATTCTATGAAAATGCATCAAGTAAAGAATTCCTTTTATTCAGAAACTTGCATGTTCCCTGTGCCTCATTCAAGATGTACTCATTGAGAGCATGAGGCGTATTTTAAATGAGAAAAAATTAATAAATGCTTGGTTAGGGGGTAGCTGTGAATGAAAGCTGCCCTCAGCCATGCAGCATGTCAGTACAACCATACATTGAGCTCAGATCCATTGCTAATGTAACATTCTTATAGCAGCAGAGGTCTCTACCTCTGCTTTTCATATTAGCAAAATGTTGTGTGTCTGATCTGGGATTGGAGGCAACAGCCCAGAAAACAGTGAGGTGAGATTCAGCCTGACTGTTGTAGCTCCCTAGGAAGAAGGTGCTTCAGCTGTGGGATCTGGATGCCTCCAAAGCCCAAATAATCTCAATGCTGCAGGCAGCCACTCTAGAAGATAAATCTCCTTGCAGATATACTGACCTCTGTAACAAAACCTCTAGAAAAAAACCTTAGAACAGACACCAAACTTGTAGATGACGCAGGCTGGATGCAAGGAATCCAAGTGTCTTGTGACAATGCATTTGGCCAAATAAAATGTGACAAGCTCCTGTAATGAAAAAAGTGCCTTCACTCTCACGCTGAGCCAGTGGGACTTGTCCAACAAGTATATGGCACACATATGGCCCTGCACTGGAAGCACTGGGTATCTTCCTTAGGAGGAAAAAGGAACATGTTAAACCTAGTGGTTGGAACCCAGAGTTTTAGGATGTTTAGGAACTGGGGAAAATAAAATCAGGAGGTAGAGACTCCGAGTGCAAGAATTGCCTGGCTGCCTTATACACACGAGTGCATTGCCAAGAGCTGCAGGTGTTCAATCAGGCTGCTTTTATTTGAGGTGCCTAACGTGGATTTTGAAACCACCATGTAGGCAACCCGGCTTGAAAATTGACCTTAATTTCTTCTAATTGTATGCCTTATTCTTCATTATTTTTCTTGTTAGAGACAGAATTTTGAAAGGCGATTCACTAGTGCAGCTATTTTTGACTCATCGCTGCCTGTCTTACTTTGTGTTATTTAATGGGTTCCAGTGGCCATATGCTGCAGAGAATCCTGGAACAAAGTGAGTAAACTGGGAGGCATTGCTCAGAAGGATAAATTTCACAGTTGGAAACACACTTAATACTAAGCCTTCTAACCAGTTTTTCCAGAAATCACAAGCTTGATTGCCATGATATCTGAACATGGCATTAGCTACTCTAATGAGGAAAATAATTGATATGCTATGGAAATTAGGTCTAATTAGATCTTGTTAAGATAAATATCTCAGTTCAGCTGAAAACTTGAAGAGATACATTTTGCAGCATTCCAGATTATAAATATGACCCTTGTTCTTCACCCCCCTCTGCGTCTTGGGTTACTACTGGTAGAAATGGATGTGAAAAGCCTCCTTATCACAATCACTACATTCTAACCCACTTGACATGGAATAAGTGACAAAGATGCTGGATAATTTAAACTTTACATAGGCTTAAAACCCATTTATTTTTTACATTGGCTTTAGACAAAGAGCCAGATTTCAGAACTGTGCATCAAAATGTATCCTGCCTATTAATTTTCTTACATTAAATAAATATATTAATATTTATACATTTTCAGATCCATGGCAAACAGTGATCCATGGCAAACAGTGTTCTTCAGTGCTCTTTACCACTCTTTTCAGTGACTTAAGAACAGTATGCATGCCAAATTATATCAATACCATCTTAATGGAGGACAAATATTTAATACAAACGCTAACAAAATCAAAGTTCCTTTTAAATTTTGAAGGAAAAAGAAGAAAGTAAAAAAATATATGAGATAGGCCATCCAAAAGGTGGCTAAATTTCATTAGTATTTAGATGACTTATACCTCCAGGTATACTTTTCAAGGTACTGCCAAGCAATGGACCAAACTCGTCTCCCCCCTTCACTGGTGGAGTTGCCATGGTACTCAGAGCAGATGAAACCTTGTGGGCAGCTGCTTTGTTTTCTTCCATCTTGCAAAAAAACACAGATTCAAAATATTTACTGTCCCAGTGGGCTTGAGTTTCCATCTTGCACACTGACACTTCCACAGTGTAAAAGAGATGGGAATCGGTGTTCTGCAATAATTTTAGTTTGATGTTTTTTCATTCTCACAGAATAAGCTATTTAAAGTGAATCCTTTAGAAGTCTGTCTTCAGATATTATTTTTTCAGATCCTCTGAGCTAATGACCTACAAGCCCTAAAACAACTTATCATGTAACATCACAGGCCATTTTAAAAACAGAACATATCAAGGAGTCAATTTCCCTTATTTGATGCAATTCCTATGCCATCAGCCTGGCAGAGCTGGCAGCCTTAGACAGCTGTTTCTGTTCCCTGCAGTCACCAGCTTGCCTTCTGGGGAGCAGGATGTGCTGGGGCAGAGCTCCCTCTGCTCCCTGTGCAGAGCCCCAGGGACACAGCCTTGGTGCACCAGTGCCGCTGGGAGCCAAGGGCATGGGGAAAGCACAGGGGACCAGTCTGGGCCGGGGATTTGTCCATGAGCACCACCACTCCAGGACGCAGATCCACCAGGCAGTCCCTGCAATGATGATGGTCTGATGGCTGAAAGCACAAAGGCTTTTTCTAGGGAAATCCACTCCCTCTGAAAAACAAGAAAACAAAAATCCATCTGTGTGTCCTCTTCGCGGCAAGTCTTGAGCAAGGGGAAAGGTGAATGATCTGATGCTTGCAGTCATGGTTCCTGACAGCTTTTCAATGTCCCTGTGTCTTGATGAATACGTACCTCTGTCCATTGACCTTTTTTCTTATGAGTGTGGGGGAAACTGGCTCGCAGGGCATCTACTGTGTCATTTCCCTGGATGAAGGAGAATAACAAGTGAGTAAAACAAGATTACTCTTCCTATGACCTTTAAATATTAATAAATTAAATATCTATTTGCATCACTCATTTTCTATTATTAATGTATTTATCTTCTGTTTTTCTTGGTCTGCCTGGTCATTGCCACCAGAAGATTCTGTATCTTCCATTTCAGAAAGTACTTGCAAGAATTAAGAAGATTCCCAAAGATTCCCTCCATGTAAATATGTACATATATAGTCACTGGATGAGATACCATGCAGACCAGCAGCAGATGTATGCAGATTTCTTCTGTGGCAGCCTGTAGCAATGATTTCACTATTTAAGTCACACAGCACTAAGGCAGCAGTTGGGATTTTTTTAAAAAAATCTATTTACTCTTTTTGTTATAAACCTAATGATTGCAGAAATGAGAAATCAGCCTGCAAACAGTCCAAATTTAAATAAAATCACCCCCACACTAGACTATAACAGTGGCAGATGGACAGAGGAAGAAAGTGTATATAGTCATATTTTTTGCCATTATAGTATAGACCCTTTCAGATTGCAACAAGCAACTTGCCATCTGCAAATCTGAGTCTTTCCTTTTCTGCTGAGGCACTGATTCAAAAATCATGATTTGTGAAGTTTGAGTTAGAGTATTAAGAGGCTTATCTCTCATTTTAAAGGCATACTGATCTCCTGATTTTGCTTCAAACACATGGGAAAAGCATCCTGAAAATTTCCCTCAGCTTCCTCTTAGGACAAAACCCAAAGCCACTGGCTCACTCTTAGGTATGTGGTGAGGTAATGGGTTCTGCACATGAATAGCTTTTTGTCAAATAGTCTCTTATTGCTGTTGTTCTCTGGCTTTTGTTTGGTTTACTCTTTGAGGAAGCGGTTTGCTCTATGCCTATAGGATATGTAGATCACACTGGGCACCTTCCTTACAGCAGCACACATACTGACAGCAGCAATGAGTGCTTGGGTTTAGTGCTGACCCTCTGAAGAGAGAAGAATCTGATCACTGTATAAATGTCATTGATTTTTAGGGCCAGATTTTCATTTAAATGGCCGCTGATTTAGTGGGTGTGTCAATTTAATACAGATTTGCAAACAAAATCTGAGCACATTTTAAAAACGTTTTAGTGTGTCTACCCGCCTCTGCTTTCCACAGTTTTATCTTACCTTAAGTAAGGGTGTGCAAAGGATGTGAGCATCACAGAGATCAGACAAACATACACAATTTGCAGCCTACTGGGGTTTCTGATGCTTTCACACTATGGGCAGGGAGTTACTTCATCTAAGGGTCAGGACTCTTACGCAGGTTTAACTTACCAATAACCAAAAAATCGCCTCTAGGTATGAAAGCCTATTTTGAACTTGTTTAAGAAGAGGAGGATGCAATTAAATTCTGGCAATTCCCTTTCAAGAGGTGCTGCAGTATGCATTGCATTGCAGTATTTCTAATTTTCACCAGGTCAGGGTTGCTCTCTGTGAAGCAAAAAAAAGAAAAGGTTTCTTTTCCTAATCATACATGTAAAAGCCATGTACAAAATAAAATACTAAATACAGTAATTACAGTAATTTTTGTTAAAATGTTTTTACACAGTAAACCTTTGGCTTTGAAAGCTCTACCAGAAGCAAAAGAAAAACAAGCTGTAATGAAAAAACTGAAATCAGAGGCCACTAATAACACTAAAGGGAGCCCAGAAGCCAAATTAATGTTTCTACAAAGAAATACTTTTCTACACCAGGCAAATTCCTAGTAAGACCTTTACCTGGATCTTTATAGACAGGCTTCAGATTTCATTTTGAAGTATGTTTTTTACAAACTGTTTAGTGTTCATATGTCATTACCACTGTTGGGCCAGATTGCACCTGGCATCGATATAAACAAAGTTTTGGCAAGAATTCTTTCCTTTGGGATGGAGACATCTGATTTTCAAGCTGAAAACATGTCAGTGTTGCAAGACACTCCAAATAGCCTGTTTTACCAGCGCAGTAAATTAACCCGCCTGGTGTAGTGTTAAATGCTTTACAAACATCGACTGAAGGTGAGGGACAGAAACACCAAAAAACAAACAAAAACATTTCAATAACTTGTTTGACTACGAGCAATGAAAAAAAAGTACAAAGAAAGCTTGAAGGGAGGGGGGCATGCCTAGGAGACAGGACAGCAGAAAAATGAATTTTCAGAATTTTCTCCTGTATTTAACCTAGAGACTGTGTGCCATGGTGTGGGACGACACAGAAGGAGCAGAACAAGTTATATAGATCAAAGAAAACGAATCTTCATTTGAAAAGCAGATCAGGATAACAGCAAACAGTGACTCTAACTCATCATTGCCTTGTCTAGAGGAGGAAGGCTTTTTGATAGCTATCGCATGAAAGAGGTTCACCTTTAATGCCACAGAACACTGGTGGACAAAGACTACGTAGGCAAAACAGAGGATGAAATATTAGGCTATCCCCCTTGCTTCCCCATTGTTCAGGATGAAAAAGCTGAGCTGAACTTCTGGGCACACAGAATCGGCTGCGTGAAAGCTCTCGTCGCTAGATCGTGCATTTGTGCTAAGCTTGAATGCTCCGGAGGACAATGGGGTTCATCCTGCCTGTGGCTCTGCAGTGATTCTGCAATATAGATGTGAAACAAGAATAGCTGGAAAGTAGGTCCACATGCGTACCGAGAGGAACAACGGCCTGTCCTGAGAAACACAGGCAGAAGTAGTATTCTTAAATATATATTTATTTATATAGCTGTTAGACTGAAGCCATTTTGCTACTCATCTTGCTATTTTAATTGTCCTAATAGCTGTCTATTTACAAACATGCAAGTAAGTGGGCTAGAATAATTAATTAATATTCATAAGCATTCATAAAATGTGACAAAGTTTACGTTAGGGCAGATGTTAATTCCCAAGAGGATTACATTTCTATTAAGTGTAAATTTATATTACTAAGATCCAGCATGATTGATTCTCGCTTGGCCAGCAATAGAGGACTTAGCATCCATACTGGCAGAGATTATATCTGGTCAACAGGAAGGGAAAACTGGCCAAGAAACTGCCAACACAGAATCTGAAGCTGTGAAACCTGGTCAAGAAGAAATAAAGCCAAATAAGCAACAGATGAAAAATTATCTTAAAGCAAAGATCGAATCACTCAGTTGGAAATGAGAATTGTATTGGAAAAGGTGATGCTGAGAGCATGAAGGAACATGAGAATTTTAAAAACAACAAAATTAATAAATAAAATGGAGTGCAGGTTACTAGTAATTTTTTTTTAGTGGATCTTAACATTAAAAAATAAAAGTAGACAATTTTAATATGCTCAAACATGTCTGACAAAGAGCAGAGAGGACTTGTAAACTTTGCAAATCATGTGGAGGAGAATGCCAGAGGTATCAGTACTCAAGAGCTATGGACATACTGGAGAAGCCTCAGGAATGGGCTCCAAAAATGTTAAAGGAACTGGAATATCTCTCCTCGAAGGAGAGGCTTATAGATCTGACTGTTCAGCTCAGGGGGATCCCATCAATGTATATAATACCTGCAGGAAGGATGCAAAGAGGACAGAGCCAGGGGGGCTCAAGGGTGCCCAGTGATAGGGCTGGAGGCAACAGGCATAAGCTGAAACATGGGAGGTTCTCTCTGAACATCAGAACACTTTTCCACTGTGTAGGTGACTGAGCACTGACAGGTTTCCCAGCAGCTGTGAGTCTCCATCCTTGGAGATATTCAAAAGCTATCTGTACAGAGTCTCAGCTGTGCAGCTCTGGGTGTCCCTGCCGTAGCAGGGGATTGGACAAATGACCCCCAGAGGTTCCTTCTAACCTCAGCAGTCCTGTAATTCTTTGTCTTCATCTGAAGCCCAGTAGGGAAGGTGATAGATCAAATGAAGAACCAGGAAAGAAGGAGACTTTGGTAATATACAAACTTTACAATAGTTTTCTGGTACTGCTGTACCTTGCACCCTCAGATACTGGAGTGGTCTAGTGGATTCAGGAAGGATTTGTTTCTGCACCCATGCTGCAGAAACCTGCTGCCTCTAAAGAGGGACTTCCTAGAAAGTTTATCAATGATTGCTTGCCAAATCAAAGAGTGAGGAGAGAAATGGGTAGGGAACTTGCCAACAGATAAAGTCAAAGAGCATTAATGCCACTGTGCGTTTTGTCCTCAGAACAGAGTGAAGTGCTCTGGATGTAGGGTAACCATAGGACCACTCTGGACTGGGCCAGCTACAGCCTACCCTAAGCAAAAGCAAAGACACCTTAACAGGGGAAGGGCACCCAGAGCCCTCTGTATCCAGCAGCATCAGCACACACCAGCACAAGCACCGCTAGCACACTGCCAGGGACAGTGCCTCAGTGGCCAGCTGGAATGAGGAAATGGAGCCAGGGAGCTTCCGGAGCTTGAGGGGCGGCTGCCAAACAGACACCGTGCTTGGCGGCAGGCTGGCAGCACAGGGAGAGGCCGCTGCCAAGAAAAGGGAGGGGAGCATCACCTGAGTCCCACCAGGGTTAACCTGCACCTGATGCAGGTGATGGGAGCAGGGATTCTGGCTGGAGAAAATGTCTCTGAGCACTTTGAGGGGAAAACTACCTTCTGTTCTCAATACAAAACACATTATTACTGGGGAAATCAAAAAATATAAACAGGTTAGCAAGTAAAGCAGAATAGTTTCCCAAAAAATAGATTTTTTTAGGTAAGTAGAACACATTTTCACATTTTCATATTTTTCTTATGGCAGTCCTTCAGTCAGAACAAGAATGATATAATATCAAGTCAAAAGGACAAAAAAAACAATTGCTAACTGCATACTTTGTTCAGAGAGTTACGCAACAATAAAGCAAGTTGGGGAAAAATATTAGAGGAAAAGAAAGTGAGAAAAAAGGCAGTTTAATGGGTGTCAAACTTGTAAACACTGAATTCTATTTTATCACTGTTGGTTTAAAATTAATATAAGATAAACAAAGCAGCAGTACTGTATTAATTCAGTTATATTGCTGTAAAATCCTGATTGTCCATGAATTTTATTCACACAGGAGAATAAATTATATTACTAGTAGCATTTTAGCAAATAGTTTCTTGCCAGAGCATTGCATCAACTTAATGTTATTGGTGTCAAATAAATCTGAAGTAGTTAAATCAGTACAAAGTCCAGGCTGACCCCAGCATTTATTGTATGTTTATAGAAATGGTTCAAAGCTGAACCCATTTTCTTATTAGTATTTTACTTACACTACATTTGGCAGAGTCATTGTCCAGAAAGTGAGAGAAAATACCTGATAAGCCATGTGTAAAGAATTTGAACTCAAACCCTGACAGTGTGCTTGAAGTGAATTAAATTCATGTCAGATTTGGACAGATGCAAGAGTAGCTAACAAAAGCACAGGTAGAAGGAGCCCTGCATATTCAGGTCTGGAAAGATGTTATGAAGGGAACAACATAAATTAAGGCAAAAGTTGTGTTAGTCAAGTAATCAATAATTTAACAGGGTGCTCTGCTTCCAGATGCCCCTGTTGGTTATGCTGAGGTAATTTTATGGGGAAATGCACATGGATGTAAGAATGGGGGCTTGTAGTGAGGGTTGTTAAGGGATGCAGGCATTTGCTTGAGTCCTACCTACTACTCTCCTCATGGGCACAAATTAGGTGCAACAGTGCTGCAGCTGGGTGCTCAGCTGGCTGGGCTGCGGTGGAAAGAAAAACACAAACAGCTCAAGAAGTTCCTTTTTCCATGTTGCCCTTCCTAGCTGCTTGTTGTCTTCCTTTGCCATGCCCTTGCTTGTAGCGGTGCAATTGTTTGTTTGGCCAGGCTGTAAACAGGACTGATTAAACAGGCTGGAGTAAAAAAACAAAATCCTACTCTCCCACACAGAAAAGCCTGAAAAACCCATTTCTCTAATGGGATTGCTTCAGTGATCCAGTTTGCATCTCAGCTTGAGAAAAAGTTGATTGGAAAAGCTTGCGTAAGGAAAAAGCAGGGCATGGAATAGAAATAAGCAGAAAGGGTAGAGACTGCTTAGATCTTGCAGAAATAATCATATATTGGTTCATTTTATCATTTTATTGGGAAATATGCACCAACTTTACTTTAAACTTCATAGATATTCCAGAAGCCCCACTGAGGAGCACCTTCTCAGCCAACCTAGCGTTTAAAAATTATTTTTTCAGGGAAGTAAGTTGAAGAAAAGCTTAGGGAAGAAAATATCATAAGGTCTGGTAACTTGTTCCACTGCCATCAGGAATATCTAAATGAGGAACTTAATCATGTTCTGAAGAATACCAATAAACAATTCTCATCATGTCTATAAAGGTGTGTACTTTATTCTACGAGGACAATACATCTATCACTGATGTACAAATACCACCCTACAATCCTGAAGCATTAGCAGAGATCTGACCTAGAAAACAACCACCTTCTCAGGTCCCACTTTCAAACTGGAGAAAAAGCTCAGTTCCTTTGACACCAACCACAGGTCTAGGCAGGGAAAAATTCACTTTGTCAGGTTTTGTTTAGACCACAGAACACAAGTGAATTCATTTCCAAAAGGTTCATACTCCTTGCCATGAATAGATGAGTCATGGAGTTTATTTTTAACAATTTTATTTTGTATCAGGGATCACTCTCTGCCTCAGTTAGTCACTGCCAATACAGGGACACATGGGACATGGTGTTCTGGTGCTGTTTCCCCTCTCCCACTTCTGGGGTGTGGGGGCGGAAAGAAGGGAGGACGACTGCTTTTGTACCACTGCCCATCCTTCAGGGACTCTGCCAGAAAGTGTAATGGGCTTTGCCTCATCATATGGAGCATCTGAGCAAATGTTGCCTGCAGGATGTGCTAAAACCTGTATTTGGGGTGAAGTGGGATTGTTGGGTCCATGACTCACCCCAGTCACCCATGCAAGTGTGACTTCTATCAAAAGCAAGCCCTTCTTCTGCTAGAGAAAGAAGAAGGATCTCTGGCAAAATCCAGCTTAGTGAGGTGGATCTTTGTTGAGGTGAGCACTGGCTGAGAAATACAATTATAAAACAAGTTTGCTTTGCAGGAAGGCAAGAGTTGTGTCAATTTAGTGCAAAGCTCCTTAGATCAAAGCTTCCTGTGTTGAACATCTCGTAACATTATTTTCCCACAGAAGTAATTACTGCAATTCCAGGCTACTTCTACAGTGCTAAACGTGTGAGATCCAAAGAGAGATCCCTGCTGCCCTCGCCTCGTGTGGCAGAGTGCCATGTGTGCCCACATGGCATAGGGGTAAATCTCTAGAGCAGACTAGGTGCAGTGATGCATAATTAGCACATGGGTGCCCTGTGTCTCCTTGTGGGGTTTTTATGGAGTAGCTAGGTTTGTAATATGGTTGGGTTTTGGGTAGTTTTTCTTGATTTCCAGCCTATGAGCAGGGTGGCATACCACCATGAGGTTTTTAAACTTTAACTGAGGATATGTTGCCCACCCTGGGGCTTGGCGAGAGAGCTCATGTGAGTGTTTGGAGGGACACAGGCTTCCCTGGAGCAGCCTCACAGGAGCAGGGTGGGGGAGCTGAACTTGGCGCAGTCCTGCCCAAACCACTCTCTGGGCATGATGCCTGAAGAGATCTCTCTCTGAAACCACACCTGTATTTTGGTTTGGAGGAAATAGATGATTCGGTCTCCCAAAGGAGAGTCTGGATGGACATGGGCAGTTGTGCCTTGTGGGCAGCTGACTCAAAACCTTCAGGTGAAGCTGGGAACTAAATTCTTCCAGAGGAATAGATTTTCTCAGAGGGTCTGTACATGGAAATTTATATGAATGGCAGGATCTCACAAGGGCACATGCAGTATACATGAGGTAATTTCTGCTTTAAAAAAATGCCTGTGGCATAAGAAGGTTTCAGAAGTCCTCTTCTAAGTATCTCAAGAACCCATCTGGTGGGAGAACTTCTGGGATTGCCTTTCTCAGTGTAAGAGACCTGAGTGACCAGTTCTGGTCTTGAATCCCCACTGCATGGAAAGACATGCATCTACAAGGTGACACCACTTAACTTTAAAATGTAAGTTGAAAACAAAGAGTTGAGAGCTTTTATGTACCACTACAGTTTTACTGTGAACACTTGGACTTAGGGCATTCTATGGGGCTTTGATCCCACTACAGAATATTAATTTGCTAATTTACTGATGCAGATAAGGCACCTTATGAAAACTGAGATAAGAGCTGTTAGTCAGTGTTTGCACCAACAGAAACACAACTGTCATTTTAAGCTATCTCTTTGAAACACACAGTTTTATCGAGACTGTAGGTATGCTGGGAAAAGTTTGTTCCAGAGAATAGGAAGGATAAAAAATGCAATGGCACACCTAACCTGATTTTTCTTAATGCATTCCTTGTTCCTAGGAGCTATTAAGCAGCTTAGGACAAACACTGGTTCCTCCAGTACAAGCAGGCATAAAGTTCTAGCCAGTTAGTATTTTTTCAGAAAAACTCTGTTTACATCTCTTGGCTTTAAGTATTTTTTTCAACCAATTTATTAAATAATTGAGGCAATAATTTGCCAATTTTTAAAACATTTGATCTGTATCTCACTTAGAATCATCTGAAATCAGCTGCTGAAGAGGGATCGATAGTTTGCTAAAGCATATGTACTTTTGACAGACAGCAGTGCATTTCATTATCAGCATTAACAAAAAGATGTACTTGTAAAAATAAAAAATAGATGTCTAAACATAACCATTTTCCATAGCTATCTATTACATACTGCCAAGTAAATGCATCTAAAACTGTAATATTTTTTAATAAAAATTAACATACTCTTAAGTTCAGATGAAAGAACAGTATAATCTTTTTCTTAACTGATATATTAGATTGCATATTTTGTGGCTTTATTTCATCATTCAGTAGCACATTTGGACTGTCCAGGAAGACTAATTAACACTAATGCTTCTAAAGAATTTTCATTTGTGATGCTAATCACAAAACAAAAAGTGTCTTCAGAAAGCCAGGGGGAAAAAGTAAAGAGACTACTACTTGTAGCCAGCTTAAATTAGTGCTAGCTTGATTTGTGTTAATTGAAAGGTTGTTTACATCTCTTTTGTAAGTGTTTATAAAAGTTGGCAGACAGAAGAATAGCTGCCTACCTGCATGAATAAAACTTTGATTTATTTAAGCTGCTGTATATATTACTGTCATTAAAAACCTCTTGGAACATTTTTGTACACATTATCTTAAGGTATAAGCCTGTGTCTGTGTTTATGTACACACAGACACACACACACATATCCCATGCTGTATCATTTTTGCTACTGAGACATTTATACTCAGCCCTCATATTATGTGAATATTTCTACGTACCAGTTCATTTTAGCAGCCTACTGGTCTCTATTTCTTTGAGGTATGTGCAAGTCAGAAAAATACTTTGATGACAACTTGTGGGAATGTCTTGCTGTTGCATTCAAATCCACAGTCAGGCTCAGCAGAAATTTAGTCCTGACATAGCTGAGCACCCCATAAGCTTTATTGGGATTCCTGAGCCCTGGCTCCTGTCTGCTGGTTGAGACCACCTCAGGCTCTTGTTCACTGATTCTCCACATTGACAGCATCTCAGGACAGGCCACCTGACCACCATGTGTGGAAATTGCCCAACTCTGATGGTGTTGGATAGACCCCCACCTAATATCTTCAGGATCCACATTGTCCACACTGGTAGAGGGAGGGAGAGGTTTCCTAGGCTGACATGGCAGCAAGCACTCCCAGCTGTTCCTGGACAGACTTTAGAGATCTTGTCTTTTAAAAATACAGGGTACCTATTGCTGATAAGTGCACTGATGTGTTCCCAGACCTTAAAAGGAATTTCTAGAGAAATAGGCAAAGAAATTTGGTTTCCTCAGCAGAGCATAATTAAATTGCTGCTTAGTTCACAATGCTGACTGCAACTGACGTTTGCATCATTTTAGTGTGGCTAGACCATGTACTGCATGTAAGGACAATTAGCAGAGCAGAGAGAAAAGCAGCAGATGCTAGAAGTGCACAGAGTTAGATGACTCATTTTGATGTCATGAAGAATCTTTTTCAGACAAGTGGAAAGGTTGGTATTAAACAAAAAAAATTAAAAGAACAAATAATTATTAAAGAAATAATATGAAGATTTCAGGAAACAGTAACAGCAAAATCAGTGTCTCGCTGTATGCTAAAACATATGTTTACCTGAAATACAGAGGAGAGACAGCAACATACATGATGGAGACTCTATTCTTCCTGCTTCTCCTCACTCCTGCCCCTTTTTTCCTTCAGGACTGGTTACATGGTGGGTTCAGTGTGTTCCATGTTGAACCAAAAGAAAATGTGTTCTAAAATTTCTTAAATCTTTAAAAACTTGTTAACTGATTATCTGCTCAGAGGTAAAAATAAGAAAATATTTAATGACCACTTTCTGGAGGCTTTGTGCATATTTTACAGCACAGTTTTTCAGTTTTTCAGTCTAACTAGACTAAAAAACTAGACTAACTAGGAATATATAGTTGCCGTTTCAAAGATTTATTCTAATGAGTACCTGATATATGTGAGGTAAAAAGCAAGTCTCATGAGACAAGTACCTGCTGCTCTCAGAAGCACTCTACTCCCCATTTATGGATCTCATTGTTTCCTTAAAAACAAATGTGACTTGTCTTTTCTTTTGCCATTCTCATTTGTGAGTTTGAAACTAAATAGCATTTGTATGCTCTCATTCTGTATGGCATTTATTGATGGAGAGTTATGCTTGGAGAAGGTGTTAGACTTTTCCCCTGCAGAAACCCTATTATGCACAAAAGCTACTATGGGTATATAATGTGTATGTGCTCTTCTGCAAAATCTTATTTGTGACATGCATTTGTATGGCATGCACTAATACAAGTGACAAAAGATTCAGCAATGTCAAATTCTGTAAACAAACCACTCCAAGGAATTAACATTACCACATAATTGTATGTTTTTACCATGTCAGGCATGTCACAAAAAAAGCACTTGAATTGTGATTATAGCAATTAATTTTTCCTCTCTTATTTGAAACATGCCAACTTATTATGGCATTGAGGATGATAGATTCTGGCCTGCCATTTTAGTGCATCATATATTTACATTTCCACATGAAGAACTGTTACCAAATGATTTTAACAGGATGGGATCTATATACAAACATATATTTAAGTATGACCACTATCTTTACACTAAGACCTGGAGGTCTTTAGAAAAAGGGGAGGAAGACTAGGCAAGAAAAATAAAGCAAAACAGAGGTTTTGTTCTCAAAATCAGGTAGGTCTAGAAATCTAGAAAAAAGTGATGAAAAACAGGATTGTAGGCAATTGTACCAGTTAGAAAAGAAAGAAAAAAATATAATTTTTCCATCTGCTGCTAATTTGGCCATCTTTTGCTGTATTAATAGCGTGTCCAAGGTGAGTGGGTGGCTGAACTTCCAGCTCTGCGGCATTCTTTCTTCTTTAGTTTTTCTGTTCTGAAGTGGAAATATCGATGTTTTGACAAATAATGTACAGGAAAAAAAAGGTGAGAAAAAGAAAAAAAGGAGAAATGGGAAGGTACTAATTCAGATGATGGGAAGCTGTTTCCAAATACTGTTACCAAAAGCACACATTCAGGTCCACTAATACAGTGTGGTTTTATCAAGGAGCCCAAGGGGCTCCCTCTTTGCCGCCACCCCCTTCCCCAAGTCTCGCGCTCTGCCTGCCTGATCCCATCCAACAGTAGAGCTGATACCGCACTAATCCCCGCAAGTTTGGGACTAATGAACTAACTGCTGGGCTGCCGCCACGGAGCTTGGTCCCAAACTATACTGTACTTCACACTCGATTTATTCTCCAGATGGCGAGACTGCGCAGCCCTGCCGCGAGGGACCACCTCTTCCACTGGAGTGTAAAAGTGGACGGATGTTGTTTTCTTTGCAGATTTGATAATTCAGAGCTAGAAACTCATGAGGATGCTTAGTTATTAGGTTTAATGGGTGCCAGTGGAGCCGGCATTGTGTGTATTCCCATTTTTAATTTCGGGGGGTGTGTGTGCGTGTTTGGGTAGCAATGGATTTGTCAGCAATGCTGCGTCACCAAAACCTTTATCTTCACCAGTTGGCGTAGCTGCGCATGATAATGAACCTCTTCCTGTGTCCTCCTCAGAGTCAAACAGAAGGGGTGCTAAAGTAGCCACCTTGACCAACAATTTTTTTTCCTCAGTGAGCTTTCCAGCACAAATTTAAAGCATTTTGATAGCATCTCTATTTACCATGAAGCTCTCTGTTGTATTTCTCTCTTGTTCAGTTTGATAAAGAACCCAGCTCACATGGGACCCAAGGAGGACATCACCATCCCAAGCTACTTGAGCATGAAATATTTTACTTAATGATTTGGTTTATTTCTTTATCAGCTATTCCTTCATGACAAAGTCTTATCTGATGTTGTAGTTCTCATGTGAAGAACAGGGCAAATATTTTTCTCACCATTCCTTAAAAATTCTTGTTTTCCCATTCTTGGCAGTAAGGATATTATTGTATCAAGGACTACCTTTTTCTCTGTTACAATTTTGGAGTAGTTTATCTAGCATAGGATTTTAGCTGTTGCACGAATTCTACAATAAGAGCCTCTACATTTCCCTGCCTAATGAGGCACAAAGGACTCTCCCTTTTCTCCATGTTTTTAATACGTTTGGTCAAAGGTTTTAGTATATAATTTTTTTATTTACCCATGAAATGTTTTATTGGGAACCTTTATGGGAACCTCATACTCCCCGCTAACATTAGTCAGATTTCCTCCACTGTAGGAAGGGTAGGCACAGTCAGCCCCCTCACAAGCTCTGGCTTTGGCAGCCAGGTCCCATCAGTTTGTTCCACAGTTAAAAACATAAATTGATTCTTGCTGTGGAAACTATAGTGACTAGAACTATTATATCATGAAAAGGAAACATTTCCATTCCTGGAGTATCTAGGCAGACAGATCTAATACATAACGGTTCTAAGAAAACGCATCAATTCTCAACCCAACAGATGGCATGGGTGTGTTAACTAACATAGCAACATATTTTCTATTAAAATATGGGAAAAAACATCAACCCCCTCCCCATGTTTGTTGGTTGGTATAAATTCAGTGAAGTTGTTGGTTATTTTTGGGATACGTACCAGAGGGCTGCACATTTAGTTTATGTAAATTGATAACAGCAACAGCCTGTTAATAAGTGTTTTGTATGGAAATATACCTAGAAAGACACGATCTGTCTTTTTTGGGAAGGAAGTTTGCAGACTGAGGAGAAAAACAGATATGAAATGGTCTCATAATAGTGCTCATTCTTATATTCTGAAAAAAATCATAACAAATTAGGCTGCAAGTTTGCTGGAGATGTGCCTTCAGCTGGAATTGAGTGCTGCCTTAGAGGATACTTTGGGAAGATCTCTCTTTTGCAAATTGCATTGGTGTGTGCTGAAACGGTGATAATCTGACTTTAATTAAAAGCATAAATTGGTTTGGAGTGTGATTTTAAGCTACCCTTCTGCATCATGTCCAGAAGCTTTCAGCTCAGCCCTAGGAACCCATTACCCTGAGTCAGAGAAGGAAAACATAGGGGATTTGTATTTCCCAGTATTGGCATCATACAGTTGGGATGACCAAATTTGGAAGAGCCATATCAGACAGCCACGGGCTGGAGCTGTCTTCCAGCTGGACGCGTTTGTACTAAACTGCGTGCATGTTTATGTGGCTCTCCTAATGGCTCCAGACAGAGTCCATCCACAGCAGCTCGCGTGTTTTGGGTTGCATTTTCCAGAGATTCCCTCTGAAGGTACCCCTTGATGGCATACAGGGATGCATACATGGGTGCCTTGTTCCCGCCTGTCCCATTAACAGGCATATGCTCCCAGCCTTGGGAGGAGCACGGCTAGGAGCCCCCAGCTGAAGGCTGCTTGCTTCAGATTTCATTAACTTTCTGCTTCATTATTCCTTCCTTTTAACCAGTTAGAGCCACCAATTGCTTTTCTCTAAACTTACCCTAATTATCAGGGGTCTCAGCCCTGTAAATCAGTACACTGCAGAGCTGTCTTAAACTGGCCTGGGAGACCCTGTTCTCATCGGTCCTGACAACTGTAAGCTACTGTTCCCTCACACTGTTTAACTCAGACCACATTGGGAAACCACCTCTGCCCCTCTTGCCGGCAGAGGTCTGCATCCGTCTGGTTTAAATCTACTGTCATGTGCTCTCTTGCTGATTTGTATTAGCCTGGATATTAACTTTGATGATTTCTTTTTGTTGTTTTTTTCCTCTTGAGTCTGCCTTTTTTCTTGAAAAGCATCTCTATTCAGCAACTGCATATTGTTAAAGTCATTCCTGAGCCTCCATGGCTCAGGAGCTTTAAAGTTTTATTAGCCCCATAAAAACTCTTCACAAATGAAATGATAAGTGTGCGTTTTGACAATGCAAATTTGTTAGGGGCTGTTGGTGAGTGGAAGGAATTTGGGGTTGAAACTTCAGTTGGCAGGATGCAAGGAGCCTAACACCTTCCTTCGACCCCTACCCCCTTCTCCAGGCTAAGAAATGCATTTCATTTCAGAAAAGCATGCAAGTATTCCTCATGCAAATCAACCATTAAACAGATTTGTAAATTTACTTTCACAAAAATAGCAAACGACCAGGGGAAGTGTGTGTCTTTGGAGATTTTATTTTGTGCCAACAGAATGCCCTTTCATGTGGTCTAAGAAAAACCTTGGAGTTATTTCAGTGTTGTTTTTATATGCATGTTGTGAATTCTATTACTGCCTTTAATGCACTTTGAATACATGGAGTAAAGGAAAACCAAAGAGGCATATATATGTCTGTACTTTTTGACATCAGGCAAAATTACAGAGCTAAATTACAAAAATTAATTTTTAATGCAAATTTAAGAATATGCCATTTCTGAGAGAGCAGACAGTTAGTGCAATACATTATGTTAGCATAAAGATTTGTGTTTGTTACACATGTTTAGCACTAGCAGACACAAAAGTCTTGTTTTCTGCAAGTGGTAGAAACCCCATGCATTGAATTTACCAGTTATAAAGAAACAGGAAAGAGGAAAGTGAAATTGTGAGGTTCTGGTGACGACTGCTTCAATAAAGTCCAAGAATGACAGACATTCTGAGGAAACCACTATATTGGCTGTCTAGTTTTTCCCCCACGTCATTTCAACAAGATTTCTTCTCAGTGCATTTTTCTGTCAATAAAAAATATGCTTTCTTTTTCTTTTCTTGTGCATCTGAACTCGTAAATAATGTAGAGAGAAGCAAGACTGAACATCGTGAAAACCCTTGAAGAGTTTGACTTAGGCCATGGTGAAAAGTGTGTCAGGATAAACTCCGTGTCCAGCGGCCTTGCAGAAGAAGATCTAGAGGTGCTTTTGCAGTCCAAGACCCTGCCTTCAAGCATGATGCTGCCAAAGGTTGAAAATGTTGAGGAAATAAGATGGGTGAGTACCAAAAACACAGTAGCTTTTGACTGAAGCTGTTGGACCAAGTTCACCCAGGCACAGAGAGGAATGACTGTGAGTTAAGAGGAAGGCTGAAAATGCCATATGATGTTGTTGCTTGGCTGAGGTAATTGGGCAGTGCATCCACTTAAATGTGTGTGTGTGATGTGCTGTATAAAAAGCAAATATGGAACACGTTTATAAAGAAAACTAGGTGTATTTCTCCCACGGCTGACAAAGAACCAATATTGCTGTCAGAATATATTATCAAAAGTAGAAGGGTAAGTGCCTGACTCTTCTCAGACTACACTAACAAGCAAAATTATTGTCTGTCCAAGAGCTTTAGTTACATGCATTGGAAGCAGGAGATGGAAAACCATGTTAGCAACATATGAAAAAATGGGTTGGGGGGAAGGTCACTCCTTGGGGCAACTGGAGGAACAAACAGGAAGCTTTTAACTAGTGTTTTTAATTAGCACAGATATTATTTCCTGAACAGTTCTCTACTTCTTCCTTTTAAATTGCTGACAGGTGTGTTTGTGTTTCACAACTGACTTTTCAGCCAATAAAAACCTGAAATGTAAATGGTTGGCATGTCAAATTACTTAAGAAAACTTTGAAATAGGCCTAATTATGCTATAATTGTTTTAATTGTCAAAAAAGAGGGATGCTTGTTTCGATATACCATTATTGCTGTAACACACCAGTGAAGGAATAATGCTTAATTATTCACTTCATATTTTTGCAAACCGCTAGCTGAGCAGCTAGCACGCGTGCAAGCTGTGATGAAAGACAGGCAGGAGCATTAGGGTCTATTTTAATCTCAGCACCTAACCTTGATCAGGCCATGGAGATGGGCCTGAGCACACCACGGAGCTCAGCCCCGTCACCGGGTGTGGGACAGGCCCCATCCATGCCATGGCGCTGCCCCTTTGGCCTCCACGGAAGGTTCTCCATCCCCTTCCACCAACGGGTAATTAAATTAACCAGAGTGCACCTCTCAGGGTTTACAGCCATGTAAGTGTTAGACAGAACTTGTCAGTGATGAATATTCATGATACCAAAATGGCAGAGCCCTTGCTGCCACCAAGTAGGTTTTGCAGGGAGATGGGATGCCAGGGCTCTTTGCCACCTCATCCTCTTCCACCTTCCCTCTGGCTAACTTTTATTTCCATCATGGAAAACAAGCCAACCCCAGAAGCTTCTGCATCACTGTCCTTCTTTTTCTTCGCTTTCCCTTTGCCCAACCTTTGCACACAAAGAACATACTCTGCCTAACACCGCTGCCTTCTTTTCCCAATCCTCAAAAAATTCAGTCCAGCATGATTTTTCAGCCTCCCAGAAGCTGTTTCTCTCCCCCCACGCACACCCGCTCCCCCCCTTCATTTTTATTTATGTGCAGCAGAAAACCTGGAGGCTGATGCACAACTAAAAGATGGGCTTACTTGTTTTCTTTTGTGTGAGAATCTCTTGCTTTCCTTTTGTCCCTAGTGTGGGTACTTGTTTGACTGGCATGGCTTATTGGACTATAACAAGCGTAACTCTCCCTCCTTTGTGGCGGGACAATTCTCCCACAAATCCCGACCAGTGTGCATTCTTCCCGACACACTATTGGGTGTACACTGGAATTGAAAGAATTGCTGAGGCCTTGCTACTTCATCCCCTCCCCAAGCTTTGTGGGTTTTTTTTTCCTCCGCCTTCTTCTTTTTTTTTTCCCTTTCTCCCTGAAATGAACACTTTACCAGGCCGGAAACATTTAATCGTCTCCTTTTGAAAAAAAAAAATTAATTGAAACTTCTCCACTCGTTACCTTTTGTATTGGTGCTTATTGCAAATCTTTTACAAGGGAAAGGAAGGGAGGCAATATTTAATTAAATGTGCTCTTTTTTTTTTTTGCTTTACCTTCAAAACAAAAGATAGCAAAAATTCCAGGAGTGTGACTTTTAAAATATATAAAATAAAACAAGAATTCTGCTCTTTACCTTGCACCTAAAATATACACACAATAACATTTTTTTTCTTCTTAAAAAAATTAAAACCAGGTAAGAGTCTTAAGAAGATATACTGATACCATTATATTACCTCATTTTCTGCATTTGCCTGGGTGAACTTTACTGTTTTCTGTCACTGTAGTAACCTGCCATACTGTACAGAGTGAAATGATTTTTTTTTTCCTTGCACATTTTTGAGTGGAATTCTCTTCACTAAAGAAAAGTTATCAGGAGGGCCATGGTGATGATGCAGAGCAGAGATGGGAGGGCAGAATTCTTCACCGGAGAAAGCTGTGATTTATTTTGGCCTAATTGTAAAGTTACTGCAAATTGCTGGAAAGCTTTTTTTTTTTTTTCAAGATCTGGGTGATTAGATTTTCCTTCTTTTGGGGAGGGGTGGTGGGGGGAAGCTAAAAGGGGAAATAACACCTCTAATCCAGCTTCTGGTAAATAGGCTGCCAGCTTTTAAAATGAGTTTCCTTTCTATTAGTCAGAATATTATGCTAAGCCTTAAGCATTAGTTTTTTATGTTGCCATAGCAGCCTTATTCCTGCAGGGTTGTGACCTGCGATGATTACAGTACAAAGCTTATAGGGTCTTGAAACCCCCTTTGAAGATGAAAAGTCTTTGATGGTTTATATTTATGCAAATCTCTTAGATATGATTTACCCAACTGAGACTGAATGGAGAGATGATTAAAATTCCCTTTCCTTTGATATCCATTAATAGTTGAATATTCCTTAAATTTAAAATATATGCATATGTGATTTTTGTCTTTATTTACTAACATTTTTGCAGTACCTGAAATATGTTTATCTTGACACAAATTACTCGATCTGGATAGACATAAGACATTTACAATATAGGGCTGAAGGTTTTCCCCCCTCCTTTTTTTTTTTTTTCCTCTTTTGAAAGGGGAAAAATCTGTGCAAGAGCTTTTGTATGTTTCCAGATGATAGATTTTGGAATTTGGGCTACCCCACTGGCAGCTCAGAGCTAGCTGTGAACTGGTCTCATGGAAAAAATTGGCAAGCTTTGGTCTTCAAAGAATTAAACTTCCTTTTTAAGGCCTTCCTAGGTAAGCTAAAAAATTATGAAGAAAAGCCTATTGAACAAAAGGGTAACGGTGCCGTAATGAATAATACGGATGCCACTTAGAAGGCTGGGGAGCGCTTCCAGTGATGGCAGTGCTGGACCTGAAACAAAACCGGACCTCAGGTACAGCAGCACTTCATTGTTTTCCACAGCCCACGGATTTGCATTTCACTAAGCCAGGGTGAGAGGTGCTAAGATTGGATTTTTTTTTAAATTTTTTTTTTCCTTGCAAACCAGCCTCCAAATTTAGAAATGTATGGGAATGTTGCTGTTTCAGATCACAGGCCTTGTTATAAGCTGTTCTAATTTTTTTAGTTATCAGGTTTTGGGGTGGGGAGAGGTGTTTGTTACAGTAAGGTGAATATTTGCCATGTTGTGTATACATGTAGACTGTTCTTTCTTTGCCTCTGATAGCTCATTCTGTGTAGTTTTAGTTTTCAGACAAATTCTTACATCACCTAAAAGGCCGAACACTTGTAGAACCAATGAATTTTATCCCCTTTGTGGAAACTGCAATGGGCTTGCTCAATTTTAAGGTAAGAAAGTCTTGAAGTGTTCATATTTTGCCATCTCAGCAAACTAGGATAAGGAGAATTCTCAGTCTCTCCCTGATCTCACCAAGGAAAAGAGGTTAAAAAATACAAAATGTATTGTTCAATCCCCAAAAACATTTGCACATTGAACTCTGATGTTTGTATTGTAAAGGCCTTCATAAATTCCAAGTATTCCAGTGACAGAACAGCTCCAGACAGTCCACAACAAATATCAAAACCTCTCTTCATTCATTGGTACTGTTTTGAACACATTTGGAGTGGAAAAGGTCTCTCCAAAGATTTGGAATACTCAGTGTTTCAGGCTATTTAGTAGCTGTCAGACACAACTTTTGTGTAACACTTAGTTTGAAATAAGAGTTAATTATCACCTCACTATTGCTAAACTTGCTTCTTTATAATGGTTTCTACTAATAACATTACAATCAAATTCCATGTTGTCATGTCTTTGTCTGTATGATGGAGTGTTTAATGCTAAGATTAGACACAGAATTAACACTGAAAATACCTGAAGAACATGCTTATTTTTAGGGTAATTTTAGATCAAATCTAATTTATTAATTTCGTTTCAATACAAACCCCTCCCCAGCCCTTCCTATTGAGTCCAGGTTTTTCAGAATGGCAAGGAAACATGGTAATGAAACAGAAGAGCTCGTGCATGCACAAGGAACTCCGCATTCCCCTCCCAAGCTCTAAGGGAAAAGTTTCAGACCAGCTGAGGACGCACAGATCAGAAGTACCTCCAGAAGTACCTCACAGGCAGCCTGGTTGTTTGATACAGCCATTTATCTTACAGCACACACTCACCTATCTGCGAGCACGATAAAGCCATAACCAAATGGACATGCTCCTGTCCAGTGTGCAAACACAGAATTAGATCATTTATTAAACCATTGAGGTTTTTCTTCACCTACAGTATTTTATAGAGGAGGTTTAATGTTGCAGTTGCTGATGCTGGCAGGAGAGTTCCCTTTTAAAGCACACTCTGTTACAGAATGATTCTGTGTCCCACCAGCTGCTACAGAAGAATGCCCGTTAGTAGAGCTGGTAATTACATGTCTCTCTCCATGTACCTTAGCCTTAAAAGATACTAATATTATCCAAACACTGATATAAAATAGTAATACTACTCTCCTCATGAAAAAAGCTACAGCAGAAAATTGTTTTACTTTTATTTTAGTGTTTTTCTGCAGCACTTGTTGCATTTTTAACTTCCTTAGCTTATTTTTAGTTATATGTAGATGGACACTTTTAAAGTGGCAAATCTTCTATCTTGTAAGGAACTTGTAATAACTGTAAACCATTAATATTATTTATTTCATAAAAGTGTTTCTGATCTTTATTTCAGTTTCTCATGCAGATATATTGCTTGTCAAACTAATCAAATACAATACTTTTTGTTTGTTGCTAAGCAATATTTGCCAAATGTTTTGTTTCATATTGCTACATAAATGTCTGAAGTAGTGGTCACAGTAACACCTGGGGCATAATGTAAACCAGAAGGTGGGGAACCTGTTATGGATGTCCAGTATTTGCTATCTGGATGCTTAGGGAAAGCAAAATACTTTTTTCTTTTGCTGAGTCATTTTAAAGCACTGTGCATTGTTGAGCACCTACAGTGGCTTTGCTTAATAGGAGCAATATTCTCGGAAGGATTTTGGTGACGCTGGGTTGCTGTAACAGCCTCTGTAGTCTCTCTGCATCCTGCATTTCTGTAGACATTAATGCTCTGTTCTCATTTGAAGGCTGTCTGTGAAGAAGCACTCAGAACAGGATCCCAGGCTGGCTTTCATTTGGATGCAGTTGTCTTTGGAGGAGAGGATTTCCGTGCCAGCATAGGTTGTTACTTGCCTCTTTATTATAAATGTTTATATATGGCATTTGTTTTGGAGAAGCCTGTGAAATTTCTGACAGCAATAAGTAAAGTAATAACTTACTTGAGTCTGCATTTTATGTTTTCATTTTACTCCTTAATTTCTTTTCAGTGCAGAATGTACCACTGGCAATTTAAAACATGGTCCTTGTGCTACAGGGCACTGAGACTTCCTTGTACTTTTTGCCAGTCAGTACCAGAAGTTAATTTAAAAAAAACACTGAAAAAACTCCAAAACAGACAAACAAAATAAACCCTCACCCTGTTGAGTCACTGAAATAATTTTAAAATATTGTATGCATAAGCAACATTCACATGCTTTTTATAACTACATTTGAAAGTCCTAAAATTCTGGCGTCCGCTTCACCACTTCTTTACATACAACTGTCACTCAAGATTTTGACATCAAGCACAAACACTCTCCTGCTACATTTTGCTTTCATAAATTTATTTTAAAGTTGTCACATGTCAATACAACCACATATTCAAATGAAAGCACTACTAGTCTTCCTAAAAATTAAAAAGTGCTTCACTATTTATTTTATAGGAGGGCACTTAGCTTCTGATTTAATTTAAAGACAAAAGCCCAGAGCTATGAACTTCTACATTAAAAATAAGTATGTTGATGTAAAAATCAGCATTGCTTTACTAAAATATTCCTTACAGACTGAAAATCTCTATCTAAATAGTAACCTTATGGTTATTATTGTTATTATTTTTTTCCCACTAGCCTTCACATGAGTACATTGCTTAGCTGGTAGCCTGTGAGCGCATGAAGTCTCATGAATACTTTTGCTTCTTCTCAGAAGTCATCTACCATCAATTTTTCATTCAAATACTAAAGCTTAAATATTCAGCTTAGGACATCAGTTGTGACAAGAATCAGAACCAAGGAAAGTGCAATTCTATTCTCAGTGTGAATTTTTTAACCATTTAGTTGGACCCAGTATATCAATTTGTGTAAAGCTTCTCTTGCTGTAATGCTTCTCACTGTACATTCAGTAAATAGCAAAATCTAATAATTACTTTCATTTTAGCCAAGTCAGCAGTCCTTACCAGACAAAGCTTCCACTGACTTCAGGCTTTCAAATTCTGATTTAAACTAAATCAAAATCTGAATTTATAAGCTAGTGTTTAGAGGGATGTTATTTTTATTTTTGCTAAAGCATCTTTTTTCCTCAGAAGAGTATAATTTTGACTCTACTGTATAGCTTTGCATCCCTCTTCTATTTTCTAAATCAGTTAAATATAATCTCAAAATTTCCCCTTTTTCTTTTTTAACATAAGAAATATTTAAAACAGAAAGGTTTGAAACACTCTTGTCAGCTTTTCTTTGTTCTCATTATTTTCTCAGGTGCAACAAGCAGTAAGGAAACTCACGATATTCTATACGCCAGGCAAAAAATCATAGTCACAGCAAAGGCATTTGGCCTTCAAGCAATAGACCTTGTTTACATTGATTTCCATGATGAAGATGGGCTCCGCAGGCAATCGAGGGAAGGCGCCTCCATGGGATTCACGGGTACGACTTTTGCCGATGCCTCAAAAGAACGCGGACCTTGCTCATTTTAAATAGGTTGCTATATTTACTGTCACCTGGACAAATAACTTGATTTTTGTTTCAGGGCGCTTATTGAAAAACTCATTGATATCAAGCTCTTCTATGTTTATTACTATCTTAAAAATTGTGGCTGGAAATTTTGCCTGAAAAATCACAGGCTGCTTTTTGAAACTGTCTGCCATGAAGCGTGTGATTGGTTTTGAAGAGAAGTTGGGGTAGAGGCTGTGCAGTGATTCCTCCCTTCCCAGAGCACAGGAAACGCAATACTGTACTCTGCCATGCCTCCTCCACACCTGGAGCCCTTTCTCTTTGTTTGAACAACAGCAGCAGTTTAAAAATACTTTTTAGGCAAAGAAAAAAAAAAAAAAAAGAGAGAAGTAAATCTCATATGCTAGCTGCTAGGGGAAAGTTATTTTCTTATTGTTTTCTTTGGCTTCTTTGTAGTCTCCTGGCTTTCTCCCTAGTAAGTGCTGGTGACACCTACAGGTATTGGCAGACAGCAAGAGCAGCAGGCTCCTTGCCCCACAGTGCTGTAATGCAGCCTGTCACCCTGTGATTGGTGAACCAGGTCACTCGACCGCCTCTTTGGGACAGTGCAGCCACCAAAGACCGGGGGCTGCAATAGAAAGCAGCCATTTGACACATGCATGAGAGAATTCTAACACGCAGGACGAACACCACATTATTTTTCTTTGACCACTATCCAGGATACGCAAATGAGAATATCCCTTAGGTTTCTGTTACCAAGAGCGTGGGTGCTAGCAATGCCACCTAGCAAACTCTAGTTTCACAGTTAGCTGTATATAACATCTTAAAGCACCAAACGAAAAAATAAGTGCAATTTTAAGTGCCCTTGGCATACCAGTAAAAGAATAGCAATCAATGCTTTTCAGCACAAGTTCTGCTTTACTGTCTGTTGAGCTTTGACATTTGCAAGCCCAAGTCTTGTTTTGGAGGTGAAATTGTTAGCTCCTCACAGCTACATTATCCACGGCCGTGTGGACTTCCACCCGTCCTTCAGCTGCCTTTGAAGTTGGGAAAATAATAGAGCTGCTGAATGGTAGCACCTGCTGACGGCTACCTAGTCTCAACCAATATTTCCTAGTTTAAGGAAAGGCTTCATTTTTGAAAAAACATAAACATCTGAACCTCCTGTTGACAGAAGATGGACTTGCAGGTGCCTAGACCCTTTGAGAGCACTCTTTTTGAATGCTTAATGCACATTTAAGAGCTTAACTGAGGCTGTCAGTTTAGGAAATTTACAAATGTTCAGCATAACCAATGCTGATGGTGATTTGGACTCCAGTGACTTTATGGTGGAAGTTGCCTGACCCTAGAACAGGGTCCAGACAGAAGACAAATGGAAAGGTCACACAGCAATTTAGGGTGTAAAATTACTTTCTGTCTTGGCTGTACATGTGTCCTACTTGCCTTTCCATACAAGGAGTAAGGATCTGTGTAAAGTACAGATTTTATTAAGGTGCTCTCACTGCACCTGCCCTTTGCCTCCTGCCTTTCTGCAGCTATCATCGACACATTTCTAAAATTCAGCAAACAACCTGACAATCAGTCCAACTGTAATTAGAGATGGGTCAATACTGATTCTACAGATTTGGTGGGGAAAAAAAATTAAAATCTGTTTGAGCTGAAACAAAGCAGTATTTTTCCTTTTCCTCTGAAAAAAGAAAAAAAAATATTTTAGGTCAATCTAAAATATTTCACTTGTTCTTTGGCTTTTTGCTCTCAGTTTATCTAATATTTTTATAATCTTTCCTGCTTCTTTTGATTGAAATAAAATCTAATTTCAAAACTGATAGAAAAATCATGTTTTTCCAAATCTATGCAAGTATTTTTTTCATAATCTATATAATTTAAACATTTTAAGATTTCCAATTCCACATTCATCACAGAAAACTACAAATGGGCCTCAACTTAATCCATGACTTTGTATAAAGCAGAAGTAAGCACATTGCATTTGCCACTGACAATCCTCTGATAATGTAAAAGTACTGAAATGTCAACCTATTAGCAAATTCAAAATGTGCAATTCTTCTAATTTTTAAATATAAGATCCCTCCCTGTTACTTTTTAATAAACAATCAAAATCATTGAAATCAAGAGAACTGAAATTAACTGAGTCTTGCAAATTGCTCTCATAGCTGGAGAACAATTCATTTATTTGCACGAACAGGGCTGAACTCACCACTCTCAAAAGCAATGCAAATCCAAAATATTTAGCTAAGTTGTATGTCCTTAGATGTCCCCATATTAGGCCAGTAAAATTGCCCTTAATGTAATCTTGAGCTTCCCTCAAGATTAAACAAAATAACAAAAAAGCAAAATAATATAATGAAGAATTTACCAGGTATTTAAATATTATTGCAGACCTCACTGCTTATTGCAGCCAAGTTTTTTTTTCTTTTCCAATTATGTTAAAATCAGCCTGGTTTTCCTTCAGTGAGTGTAGAAACATAAAATCAAATGTTTTCAAACGTAATCCATCCAAATTAATAGTCCTTTAATATTTATATATATTTTAAAATTTATATATCTATAAATAGGCATCCATCAAGATGTTTTACACTAGCATTACCCGTGGACTTTAAATCAGTGCGTTGCCTATATAAATGGGCATAGATTTTAGGAATGTTTGTGTAAAAAATAAGGTAAACCTTGTCATAAGCTTTAACACCTGACCTAGTCATTATAAAAAGTCCTGTGCTACATGCTGAGAGAGCAGATATAAATACGAAACAGTCTAGGTGTCCTCTCCTTTTCAGTCTTTTGTAGGAGACTAAAATGACACCGTCATACAGTTACCTAAAAGACTTGACAAGTATTGATTTAAAACACAATATATCAAGTGGTACTGTAAAAAGGATTTCGTGGTCATAAATTTTAATGTCTTCCAATTTTGCACTCTCTCAGTAACTTGTCAATAACAATAATTCTGTTTAAAATATTTACTTTGTTCCTCCATGGCATTATGTCTGTAATACAGTTATTTGAATAGGTAGTCTGTGACAAAAATCAACCAAGTGCTATAAATCAAAAGTTCGATTATATTCTTCCTAAATTGTTCAGCAGTGTTTTAATGATAAAAGCATAGTTTACTAATATAGGTATCTTTATCAAAAGCAAGTCTTTTTACAGAAATGTTTTACACTTTTAAAAAGTCATATATGTGTATTTTTAATACAAATTTAAATTTTGTTATAATTAGAGATTGACTTCAAATATAATTTAAAATATACTCAACATTTTTTTTTAAATAGTTAAGCTCCAGAGGATTTTTTAAGAAATTGTTGTACACACTCAAATTTTGGAATTAATGGTTTAGCTATGGAGAATTTGTTGTATTACAAATAAGGAACATCATCAGCTTTTATTGTGACATTTTATTAATTATGACATTTTATTAATATCACTGAAAAACTTCTGGGTAAACTTAAGATAAAACACATTAGTTTAAAAAAATTATTTGTGTCATTTCTTTCAAAAATTATGGTTCTTAATGGGGTTTAAATTTTTACCAACATTTAAGGTATTTTTAAAATAGTTGTGATATTAAAATTTCAAACTAATATTTGCATGCCTGTAAAATCATAAACTAAACGTTGTTCAAGAAGAAGTAAAATTGAGCTACTTGTGGCATTTCAGCAAAGGAATGTAGCAACACCACAGCACTACTATTTCTTTGCACATTTAATTAAGTAGAGTTTCTTTGTACTCCAGGTTATCACTCAGACCCACTGCAGCCTGATGAAAACAATCCAGGGATTTTTGCAGTGGTTATTTCATGGAAAATAGGTGCATTCCTGCGCTCAGGCGTGAGACTTCTCAGATGCAGGGATGGGCTGGTTCCTAAAGTCCATCTGGCCTAATGGCAGTAGGGACAGGGAGCAGACCCCGTTGTGCAGGGAACTTCCTTGGGTCCTGACACTTCCAGCTTGTCCTGGCAAAGTGCAAAACTCTCGCTGGCACAAGAGGCAGCGGGGCTGTGGGAGCCTCGGCCTGCAGGGCACTGCTCACTCGCTGGCAGCTTTGCAGCATCAGGCTCACCCCTCTGCCTAGTTTTGTTTTCTGGCACCGAGGAGAGTTGTTTCCTCCGAAGGAAGGAAGCTTGGGAGTTACGGCAGCCTCCCTTTATTAGGGCACCTTAAAAGCAAACCACAGAGATCCCACCGGTCTGTGAAATTCCCATAGAAATGAACTAATAACGCCGAACGCCGCACTTTTTAAAGTGTCAAACAAATTAGACGTGTATTTGTTTTAAGGTAGCTAAATTCAATCACAGATTAAAAGGGATTATGTGGCTGTCTATTCACGTTTGAAAATCTCTAGTGAAAAAGACAACATCTATTTTTATTTTCTTAACTTATGTTTATACAAGAAAGGATTAAAAAAACTGTTTCATAAAGCCTCAGGGCACTGCTGGTGGTTGTTTGCTATACCAGTGACTAAACAAATATTGCAGCCTATCTGCAACTACCAATAATTGCAGCAACAACAGTTTAAACAACGTTGGGGATTATATGATTATAAGCCAATACTGAGAATTTAGGGAATGATCCTTAGGGTACTGGTAACTTTTCTGCCCGACAGATCTCTTGCCATCTTCTTCAGATCTCATTTTCTGAGCACACTTTAATACAACTTATTTAAGAGTGGCTGGAGCTGTTATTTACATAGTCAAATTCAGAGATGCATTACACTTAATTGTTATTGATTGCCCAAGACAAGCAACTGCACCTGAAATTCCTGAGGGAAGATGTATGGATCAAAATGGGGAGGGAGGAGAAAGAATCTTGAGTTCTTTCAAACTATATTGAATGCAAGCATAGCACAAGGTATTCTTACTTTTAAAATAATCTACCAAAAAGCTATCTGCCTGTTTTCCAGTTTTAAAAATAAAATAAACCAAGTAAAATAATTAGTTAGAGAGCAAGAAAGTCTGCAAGGCATATGAGAGCCTCAAGTGGTTGGAACATTTTGCTTGAACATCTGTTTGTTGATGCATGATTCTGGTGTTATTAATCTTCTTTGTAGGTAAGCAGGTGATTCACCCCAACCAAATTGCTGTTGTCCAGGAACAGTTCTCTCCAAGCCCTGAAAAAATAAAGTGGGCACAAGAACTGATTTCTGCTTTTGAAGAACATCAGCGATTAGGCAAGGTAAATATTTTGCTAATATGCCATTATGGAACAAAATTTGAATAATATTTAAGATTCTGTTAGAAAGGTCAGTGATTGCTCTTTGCTTTTATCTTACGAAGTGCTGTAACTGAGAGTATTTCTTGTGAAATCTGTCTCTGGATAGTGGATATTATAAATGTATCACTTCCCAGGATATTTAGAAATAGAATGGCTATCTTTTCCTTCCTCCCCATTTTAATTTTAATTCTTTGCTTATGCAGCCTTTTGAATACCTGCAAGTATCTACAGCATCAGAGAATTAAAATTGTTTCTTCATTATGCTGCATAATCACAGTGTTACTGTCAGAGGAAAATATTTGCAACAGAAAGTCAGGTAGCTCGCAGAGGACTCAGACTGCTTGCACAGACATCATTTATGGAAAGAAATAAATGCATTAGGAAGCTTTGGTTTCTAAAAAAAAATCTCTGCGTTGGTAGACCTGTTTCACTTTTGGGGGTTTGATCCCTCAAACATGCCCAGTAGTAATTGAATGTACTTTTGAGTGAAACTGCTTGCAGATTGTGGTTCTTAATCATTAAAAATGGGAATGTTTTATGTGCATTTGTACCAATTGCTGGACCTGGATTTTGGATAGAGGAGAAAGCAAATTAACACTAGAATATGATTGTTCCTAATTTAGTGCATCATTGAGTCTCACGTTTCCTGCTCTGTGGGTTTCTGCTATGTAAATATTGCGGTGGTGATGCACAATCTGTCTCCACTTTGTGCCAGTAATACTTAAATTAGGGGTCGCCTGAAGGAAGATTTTATGCTAGTTGCGGCATTGTCAGTTAATTATCTTAAAGGTTATTTGCTATAATCCAGTTTGCCTCTTTTTGAAAGAAAAAAAAAAAAAGTTGCAGCCAAACATGTTTATCTTAGTCTTAGCCAAGCCTGGGCTAGTTAAAAAGGAAAGTCCCAATGTCAGAATGGGGAGTGCAGATGAGTGAGAATGGTTCACACTTGCTTGTGTGGCATTCAAGTAGGAGACAAATCCCTCCGGTTGAGAAGCTCACCTATAAGACTGTGCATAGGGTCTCATTTCACTGGTGCCAGATAAATGTTTTCTGCACATTTTTTACACTTTCTAGCAGGTTAGAAAAAAATGGGATGTCTGCCTTCCCTGTTCCCCTGCATTTCTGATACTATGGATGTCGTGCATTAAAAATGCTGCAAAGGTCAAAACAGATATTATGCTTTCTTCTCAGAGTTAAAGTGTGACGAGGTATTTGCTATTGCTCTGCCCTTCTCCTTGCTGGGTTATTGCATCCCTTTTGTGGTCCCTGGCTGTTTCCAGCACAGCCATGACTGTGCTCTTTGGGTGCTGTCCAGAGCACTGGTTTCAGGGTCCCTATTAGGATGCTGTGTGCCTGGATCTCTTTGTTCTCTCCACCTCAATTTTGAAATGTAGCTCTCTTCATGTAAGCAATATAGAAATAAAAATATACGTGACTGGTTTTGCCCATTATTCTGATTTACAGGGCTTGGCTCCCTCACAAAAGGCATCATTACCAACATACTGCTGGTGCAAATGTGTAGGCAGGTACATGCAGCAAGAAAAAAAGTCAAACGACTTACTCAGCCAAATATTTTTTATTATGTGCTTAATACTATTCATTCAGTGGAATTTAGCGTCAGAAACTCATCTAAGGAACACCTCTGTCATATGAGCTGTCGACTAGGAGACTGGACCAAATTTAACTCTAGTCCCAGTATCATACAATCATTAAGCCAAAAATGTTAAATATTGAATAATTTAATGTTAGGCAAGCATTAGTCTTTGAATCTATTTTGAAACTGCTTTTTACTGACATAATGCTGAGGTTTTTTGTTTATAACAGCCATTCGGGGTGGGGGGATTTATTTGGGTTTTGGGCATTTTTTTTCCTCTTCATTAAGGCTTTTAAAATATATTATAAGCTTCTGTAATCAGCTGCAAGAGCAAATTTGCTGAGAGTTTGTGGTGCAGGCTATTTTTTTAACCAACCAGGTTGCATGCTTCATATATTTTTTGCACGTAGCCATCTACCAATAAAAAAGGACTGGCAGGTTAATATGTGAACTTGTGGATCTCGTAGCACTGTCGTATTACTGAATTTTATAACAAAATTGGAAAAATAGCTTTCGATGTAATGCTGGAAACTCATTAACTGAGTTTCTAATTTGCTGTTATGACTGTGTCAGTAAGAGGGGCTTGGACAGTCTGATTACTTAATTTTTTTTCCAAAGCAAACATATCTCACAGAGGGATCCTCTCTCTCCACATCCTAACGACATGCTAAAATGTGAGTAATAACTCTTCCCCTTACCACCTCCTGGCAAATGCTCCACACAGCGGTTTCAGTAATCCTCGTGTCCTAATGAAACACCTCTTCTGTTTTCCTTTCCCTTTTATTATATTAAAGTGTTCATGTCAGTAGGACTAAAAATATAGCTGTGGTTAATATGGTTGAGACTTGCATGGTTTTACCATGTTATTAATCAAAGTTGAAAGCCTGGAAAAAATAAATGTGAGGGATTTGTGCAGCTGTTTGTGTGGTAGATAAGTTACTGGTCTGCAGTCTCTGGGATCATAGTTTGCTATTAATGTGGTTTAAAGTTTGATGCCTTTAGTTAACAATATTTTACATTAAAATACAGTAATAAGCTTTTATAATCTATTCTGATTTGAGACCTACAATTACCATAATAATCTTCTTTTGAAAGAAGGCTGAACTAGGCTCCTTCATCCTGGACGCTGAAAAGCTTTGACATAGTAGCCCCCAAATGTGAGTACTGAGGTCAGGAAAAATTGGGATCTCAGATGAGCACTGTGGAATTAGAGATGCTGTGGCAGTGTCCAAACAGAAGGAAATTAGAGACCTAAACCAGCTAGCAAGGAGTATTTGGGCTTGCCTTATGGAGATAGTCCTGTTTGAGGGGTTGCTTTGGTTTGGTTTCTAGGTTGTTTTGTTTGTGGGGCTGTTTTTTACATTTCTAATCCAACTTAAAAATGGCATGTCTGGGAAATAAATGGTAATGTTGTATTTTGGACAAGTAGAAACAAATGTTGAAAAAGTTCATTTTGTATTTTATTCAATTGTTTATTAAGTGTTCTCTTTTGTCTAAAACTTTGAGATCTAAAACTGAAATGTGCTTAAAAAGAAAAGTGTTATTTCCATGTCATTTCAATATTTTTTCCAGTAGAACTGCATTACTAGGGAATATTTTCAAAATTAGAATATTCATCCTAAAAAAAGCAGGTATAGCTTTTAGAAAGTCTAACTATAAGATAGATGTCAGTGTGCTCAAAAATAAAAAACAAGGGTGATAAACATAATTCCAGTAGTCTAAAGGACAGTTTCTGTTAGAAATTTCTAAAGCATTTGTATTACATTAAACAAGGAAGTGATCTTATGAATGCAGATAAACTGAATCTGAGGGAGTAGAGTTAGTGGGAGAAGTTATTAGCCTATTTTAAGGAAAAGATCTGATTTCTAACAATGAGAACATAACAGTCTTTACTATTTAGGTAACTCCTGAATTAACATTACCAGTATATTGGATACAGGACTGTATCTCTTCTATAAGTAGTTAGTGTTTATATATGACAAAAATGTAAGACGTTGAAAATGCATTTTAAGCCATTCAACGTGGAAATACATCAGGCACAATATCGTTATTGGAATTGAGTCTTCCCAAATTACCTTACTTTTAAATGAAATTCAAATATAAGAAAAAGCAGAAGAATAAAGTAAAAGGTTGATTACACATTTATCTCACATACTAATTTACAAATGCTTTCAAAGCACCCACATATTAAACTAGGGAATAACCGAATGCTGCTGCTAAGGTCACCTGTCAGGTAAGGATTATTTAGAGTTAAGGTAAGTATGTCACAAATCCAAGTTGTAATAGGGGTTGAATATTTAAATCCCATAGAGCAAATCAAAATAAATATTTGTGTATGCCACATACAAATGCACAGAGTGCTTCTAAGAAGACCTTTAGCATATGTTTCTTGCATTATATTCTGTGCCATTGTATATCATGTTCCCAGCAGCTGAGGAATAATATATATGAACTCCAGTGATTTGGCAAACTATACAGTTTCATTTACGGCCCTTTCCAGGATTATGAAAAATCTTAGGAATGCATTTATTTACACAGCATCAACCCAACAAAGGAATGGAAATTTCCAGCAGTGGCTCTCTTATAATGCTCTTTGTTTAGGAAAAGCTACCCCAAGCCACTGTATCTTAGAGACGATGCGCCCTCATGCTTCGGCCAGCTCCAGCTCCCACCGCCTTACAGGGAGGTCTGCCCCGACTTTCTTCCCCCTCCTGGCTGTGCCATGGACCCCAGGAGGGCTCCCCAGCCAAGTAGGATCCACCCTTTCTCAATACAGCCTGTGGTTGCTAGGAAAGTGGGACCATGTCCAAGGGATGCCTCTTGGAAGGGATGCACAGGAGCATCCCTCTGGTGTGGGGCTGTATCAAACCCCATCAGTCCCCAGGGATTATATTGCACCTTACAGGGCATTATATCTCAGAGCTTTATGTAGAGCTGGGAGTGAGGGAGCGGCCCAGGCCCCCACTCCCACTGCCCAGGACAGATTGCTGAGTTTTGAGGTGCCACCAACCAAGCTGGATCCCATCCCAGGGCAGCAGTGGTAGCCCAGGGTACCTCTGTGTGTGTTCAGGGCTGCAGCACTGTCAGCCCTCCCCCTGAGAGCACAGGGCATGTGCTGTCCCTTATGTTATCTAGACAATGTGTGTTCCTTTCACTGCAGAGTGGGGGATTCAGGAATTTGTGATAAATTGCCACCTTTAAGGAACACCAGCCTTAAGAAGTCTAGGCTCAGGTGCATCTTATGCAAAGATGAAGAGTGCTAGTGGAATTTTAGCATGGACCATGGTTATGTTGTTTGTCTTTTTAAAAAGTGGCCAAATTAAATTTTAATGTTAAAACTGAGATAAGAGAGCTCATATTAGTACTC